GTTCTTCTTGATAGTGTCCCACATAATTCTTATGCTTTCTTAAGATTCTTTTGTTCTTTTTATTGGTTCTTATTTCAGATAGTTATCAAGAGATTTGTCTTCAAGCTCACCCATTCAGCCTAGCTATTCCTTCAATTCTACAGCTTTGCTCGTTAAAATGTCTGATCCTGACATCTTACTAGTAATCTTCTAGATTTCCATCTGGAGTTTTTGTATGGTTTCTAATTCTTTGTTTATAATGTCAGATTGCTCTTGTAGTGCTTCTCTGAGTTCTTATATAGCTTTCCCTGATTTTCTGCTTTTTACATAGCTCTCTGAATCTTTTTCTTTGTCCTTTGAAAGTACCTGAATATCATTGTTCTGAATTCCATTTCTGGTACCTTTTTAACTCCAGATCTGTACACATTTTGTTATAATACTTCATTTGGAATAAATACATCCTTGGATCTGAACATTTTTTATTATGTGGTCTCTGTGATCATTTTTATCATCAAGCACATATGTTACTGTTCCTTTTTCTCCATTTCCTACTTTTCCATCCCAACCACTAGTAATTATCAAAGCACCATGATTGCATGTTTGATTAATGTCGGACTGAAGAAGCTAAACAAACAAACAAAACCCCCCTTCTATTTCTTCTTCTTTGGCATTAGTGATTGATGGGTAACGTTGAATAATAGTAATACCAGTTGGTTTTCCTTATAGGCATATGAATGTTAGTCAATCACACACAGCATTGTACTTCAGGACCGATCTTAAAATGTCCCTTTTTAGGAGGAATGTGACACCTGTTCTATGTCATCATTTTTTAAATTTCTGTCTTTCTTGGCATAGTAGACCATATGAATGTCTGATTCAAAATGACCAAGACTCTGACTGCTATCAAGTTGATGCTGACTCATAGCAATCCCCCTGGAGGTTTCTGACACTGTAACTGTTTTTAGGAATAGAAAGCCCCATCTTTCTCCTTGGCCAAGACTCATCCATTTCAACTCATTATTGATCTTTATGCATTCCATTTCTTTTTAACAGCTTCCAATTTTCCTCGGTTCATATTTTGCATACACATATGTTCCACATTATGATTATTACTATGCCAGCCTTTTCTTTTCATTTTGAGTTATGCCACATCAGCAAATTAAGGTCCAGAATGCTTTACTCCTCGTACATATATAAATATATTTGGAGTGCCTTCTAACCTACAGGACCATCTTCAGACACCATGTCAGTCAGTGTTCTGTAGCCATACAGAAAGTTTTAAGTGGCCCCTTTTCATTTTCAAAAGTAGACTTCCTAGCCCTTCTTTTCATGGTCTGTCTTCTACCTGGAAGCACTGAGGAAGCCTGTCCATCACAGGAACCTTGGTGATATTTGAAATAGTGGTTTGCACAGTTTCCAGCAGCCCAGCAACAAATTTTTCTTTCTTTGGGTCTCCAAATCCTGAAATCACCGGTTGGCCTGTACCTATGCTCATGCCAAAAAGCCGGTCTATTTCAAGGAAAGCAGCAAGTGTGCACTGGGGTACTGATTTCTTCCTTTCACGTAGTCCTTGTGTGTTCAGCAAAAAGGAAAAAAAGAATCACCTGAAGGTGTTTGTTAAAAATTGAAGATTTCTGCATTGAACCACAACCATATTTTTTCTCCTGCTCATCTCAGGTAGAGCCTAGGAATATACACCTTGAATACACATACATTCTTGCTGATGAGACTCAGGGGCTCACATAGCCAGAAACACTGCCCTAACTGTATAGTACCATGGCCCTAACATTGTAATGTTATTCGATATATTTTCTGGATATAAATATTATTTTCTCTTTTGAAAGATAATGGGCTTAAAAGAACAGCCCCAGGTTATGGGCCTGAGTCTGTTACAGAGCCAGGAAATCCATATCTCAGGCACATTTTAGAAATCAGCTTTGAACTGCACCATGACAGTTTGTGGTGTATTATTTAGATTAACTTCCGTATTGCTATTAAACTTTCCAGATAGTTTATTTATCTGCCCTACTGGAGTACATGTTTCTGGGAGGAAAGAATCATACATGTATAAATATATGTATTCAACATTATCTCTCACACTTCATAAATATTTATTAGGCTCTCAATAAACATTTTAATTTTGGTTAATGTGTAGCTTACGTTGCTTTGAAAGCCATTTTAGTTTCTGAAGCATGAAGCCACTTCTCTCACGCATATTGCTTCAAACCAAGTTGTTCCAGTACTCCCTTGCAGGGTAGAAAATGGGGACCACACCTAATGTTCATTAGAAATTGGCAACTGTGCACTTGGGCTCCGTTATTTAACCACAAGGAGAAGGCAGAGCGACAGTAAGGGCTTTGACTGATGACTTGGCAAGGGAAACCAAGCCCTTAGGTTGTTCCAGACTCTCTTTGGCCTATAAACCTGTTTGAAAACCTGTTTCTCAGAATTTAAAGCTTAGCTCAATTGAGGTCAGTATTATAGTAATGTCAATAATCCTACTGCTCTCAGTCTTCAGGCAGCCAGTACAATTAATCATTAACTTTGTTTTCATGGAAAAGGTAACTTTGGAGAAAATGTCTCTCACTTAAGTGATTTGATTTGATTTTGATTTTCTTTCCCTTAAGAAATAGCTCTGTCAATCTTTCCTCCTTTGGATTTTGTGTTTTCTAACCCTTAGCTCCGTCCAGTTGCTGAGATTGTTCCCTAAAATCAGAATGACTGAACACAGGAGCATTTGTGCATCACCAGGGAGGCTGCACTAGACTTTGAGCAAAACAACAGATATGCCACTTAGTCCGAATGCAATTTTGGATAATTGGTGCTTCACATGGTCTCAGAATCACTTCTGCCTTTTTTGTCTTCATACTGAGCTCTATTGCCGAATGAACTATCCTAGCAAGTGCTACTTCTTCCTCTTGGGAGTCAGGAATTTGGTGGTGGATAGAGTGTTGATCCCTTGTGAACAGACAGGTCCATTTGTAGTCAGCACTTAGGAACACATATCCAAAGTAGATTATCTTCCTCCTCTCCTTGGGGTGTGAGTGAGGTGATGAAGTAAGATGCTAAGCATGTCTCTAACTTAAGCGCTATGTGTTTATCTCACTGTGAGGTTTTCCTATTTTATTTCTAGAAATTAAAACAAGGAAAATGATCCAAGATAGACACTTATTGAATCAGATTTTGCCAGTTACAGGGGCAAGGAGAGAAAGATGTAAAAACCACTCAAATGTAGGATAACATCTTATTTTTCCCAAAGGAAAAAGTGCCACTAGAGAGAACTTGGCTCCGACTATGTGGTTTTATTAAGATGGATCTGACTTCAGACCTTAATGTTTCTCTGAATTGGTTGCTATCACTGAGCTAAACCAAAATGAGTGGAGAAGAATTAACAAGAACTACGCATCACATACTATATTTAAAAGTTAGTTCATCATATTAAGCTTCTTACAGGTAGGGCCCATGTCTTATTTATTTATTTTATTCACATCATCCATAGCTGTCTTTGGCAAAAGCACTAAATAAATTCTTGTAGTTCAGTGACTTTAATGAGTAAAATCTTTTCCATTGGCAAGAAACATGATTAGGAAAATGCAAAAACCCTCTCCACTACAGTGCACTAAGGTTGATCATTTTAAGTCCATCAGCCTTCATTTAAGCCCATCTTCAGACTCAGGTCTGACTCGGAAAAGCCTCTTCCATAATACCTGGGAGCTTCAACACCTGCCTGGAAAATGGAATTTTAAAAAGAATATTACTTTCCTATGAACTTGTTGAAGCCACCTGTAGTCTTCGTTAATGTCTTCATTCCATTTTAAGCCAGTCACATCCTCCTGTCCACATGGTGGTTGCTGTTGTTCTTTGCTGTGCAGTGAATTCTGAATTATGGTGAACACATGTGTGCAGGGTAGACTTTCTCTATGTCTTTTTAAGGGTGTGAACTTTCAGAAGCATATCTCCAGGCTGTACTCTCAAGCCACCTCTGGTTGGATTTGAACCACTAACCTTTTTGGCTAATAGTTAAGCGCTTAACTATTTGTGCCACTCAGGGATTCTGGTCTGCATTAAGACCTCTATCCAGTAGTGTACCTAGCAGGTGTGCGGTAAAGAGTCAAATTTACCCAGAGCTTTCTCTGGTTGGTACATTTCTGGCCTGCTACAGCTCTTTCCGTACTGAGATAGTCCTTAGAGGTAAAATACCATACTAGAACCATTGGGGCTGCTGTAGAGTAAAGTGGAGATTTTTGTGCCTGGAAAGAAAACTGTACACACAGGGATATATGAAATACATATTTATGCATATAAATAAAGTCAGAAGAAAATGCAAACTGTGCTTATTAAAAGATAGTGGAAAATAAGGAGTTAAAAGCATATCTTATGTATTTGTGTCTACATTTCAAATTATTATAGTGAATAATAATTTTTGTAGGGAAAAGTGCCAATTATATAGCATAACCCCTCAAAGTTTCAACAATGAAGAAAGGGGACATGACAAGCTGTTCTTAAACTAACTAAAAATACACTTGAACAGAACCTGACTTCTATCCTTCTCCCCTTGTTTTCCCTCCCTTTCACCCCACTGGGTCAGGGGGAATAGACGGCTATTCATCTCCACCCCCCTCACCCCGCCACATCACTGACCCTTGTGCTCTGGTGATCGCAGAGCCCTGTGTTGCCACACACACTCCCTAAATGAGGTGCAAGCAGGGGAGTAGCAACGTCTTTTAGGAGAGGCTTTCCTTCCACGCTTCAAGTTTTGGTATCACATTTTTCCTATCTCTACGGAGCCCAGCCTCTTCTCCCATGTTATTTTTATTCATTTGGGGGTCAGGGTGGGGGTGGGTGGAAGTCAATCAGGGGTTCTCGCATGTCAGCTTTTCATAAAGGGAGCACAAAGCAGAACTCCCTGCAAGCCTCGCAACACATAGGATTTATGTGTGACTGTTCATCTACACCCATTTACATTGTTCCCTGCTGGGCAACTGAGTTGGGATGAGAGCCATCATTGGGAAAGGCCTTACTTTAAGGACTGGATGCAGTGGCTCAGATGTTGCTTCAGCTCCTCCTCCTTCTCATAAGACTCCAGAACACTGTGCGCTTCGTCATGATGATAGCAGTAGATTTTATAAATATCTTCCAGCGGACCTTTAATCTGCAAGAACACTGCTCCTGACAAATGTAAAACAAAGGCAAAATGACATACAGTCAGACCAACCCAGCACCTCACACGTCTATTACTCAACAGTGTTTGACTGGTATTCAAAATTTGGTGAGGCCTTGCTTTATTAAGGAGGGTTGCAAGACTGGCCATGATATATTTTTTCTCTCTTTCTCTTTTCCCTGCCTCCCTTCCAAATCCCTTTCCTCTCTTCTTTCCTTTTATAAAGCAAACTATCACGAGCTTACTGGGCATAGGTGGTAAGAGAATTCTGGCTTCAACAAAGGGAACTTGATTGGTTTGGTTAGTGTGTTAGTCTGGGTAGACTAGAGAAACAAATTCATAGACACTCATATGTGTGTAAGAAAGAGCTTTATAGACAAGAGCAGTTGAATATTGAGACAACATCCCAGCCCAGTTCAGATCAGGTCCATAAGTCTGATATTAGCCCATATGTCCGATACCAATATATAAAGTCTTCTTCAGACTCATGAAGCACATGAAATGACATTGACATCTAATGCAGGAAGATTACAGGCCAGTGGGTGCAAGTCTTGTGGATCCAGTGGCAGTAGAAGCATCTCAGCACTAGCAAGGGTCTCCAGGTGGCTCCTCCAGTTTCCAGGGCATGAGGTCTATCAGCGTGGTGCCATGTGTCTTGTCAGTAGAACATCTCTCAGGGAGTGAGCAGAGTGTGGATTTCCACTTCCAAAGAGGAAATACCAGAATTCCCAGAATCCTCAGGGGAAGGCCATGCCCACAGAGAGGCCTCATTGGCTATGACCCGACAGACTAGACTCTACCCCTTCACTCTTAATCCTCACAAGTCTCAAATTGACACCAGATTATGCAACTACACAGTTAGTGTGTAGGAGCTTGGCTAACCTCACTCACTTCAGAGTTAACTTGAATGTGTTTGTACCAGCTCATGCTCAAGACTGGTTTTTTAAGGTGGAAACACTTTCCTATTCCATATTGTTCTTATTGTCTAACAAAAGGCATTGCCGCTGAGTCCATTCCAACTCATAGCATCCTTATAGAACGGATAGACTGCCTTGGGGGGTTCCCGAGACTGTAACTTGTCTTTGTCCCGAGGAGCTGCTGGTTGTTTTGAACTGCTTACCTTGCAGTTAGCAACCCAGTGCATACCCGCTAGAGAAAGGCTCCCTAATGAATGCATTAGGTACAATAGTAGATCCACCTTCACAGAATCATTTTAAAAATTAGAAGAGGTGGTGTGCGTAAAATTGGGAGCACAGTACATGAAGCCTAGTATTCAATGTTAATTTATTTGAGGTGTGGGAAGTAAAATTCCAGGTGCTTGGTATGTTATTTTTCAATATTTATGACACTATCATTTCCTGAAAGGCAAGCAACAGAGTTTAGAGAAATAAAATATTTCCCTGTATGGGATAATAAAAAGAATAGAGCCATTATTCTTGTGAAAAATCAATTGGATAATATCACGAACGAACCAAGTTTATGGCTGCCTGTTCATAAGGCAACTTGGACTAACTGACTGTAACCAGGCATCAAATGAATCTTTTTTGGCATCATGGAAAAATTAGATCTGGAACTGGTGGATCAAGCAGATACCAGTGATAGTTTCACTTAATCACCCACACCGCCATTTAAAATATGTTCTAAGTATCCACTGACTAACCTGAGGGGCAGGAGGGAAAGTCAGGAGATCAGATTCTAAAAACTCAGTTATGGGGTAGTTTTGCCCTGAACACAATGAGTCCCCACAAGTCAGAGTCAGCGTGGCAAATCTTTTACTCAACCCAGAACCATGTGATGATTTGAGAAGCACACACACAAAGAGTGTGCTAGTGTCCGTTCTCAAAGAGCCTTATAAATTTGAGGTAGATGAAGATTCGGGGGATGAACTGTTTGGGATGGTTAACTCAATTTGCGTGATCAGGAGCTATGAGTCTAGTAACAGGAGTCCATTATTCTTCCTATAGAAACAGTCCTGTCCCACACTACCTGTACTCCTTAAGGCAGTGGTTCTCAACCTTCCTAATGCCGTGACCCTTTAATACAGTTCCTCATGTTGTGGTGATCCCCAATGAGACAGTTTATTGTGCCAGCCTGGCTGATAAACGCAGGTGGGATTGACTGAGGGGCGGAGAGATGGATGGCTTGGTGAGCCTTTCTTGTCTCTCGCTCTGTGATCATCGGACCAGTGTGCGGCTGCCTTGCTTGTTCTGTGCTTTAATTTAAAGGCTACACAGCCTGTGGGACGCCTAGCCTGTGGACTGTGTTGCTGTAAGTTGAGGTCCCTTTAAGACTTCTCTGGAGCTGGGGACTGGCAATTGGTGACCTGCCTTGTGATTGGCTGCTGTGCTGACATAACCTAGCTCTCTCTACAAATAGAGGAAGATCTGGCATCAGATAGAGACTGGAAGGACTGCTAGTCTCTCAACTTTCTCTCACGGACGTGAGTTGCACTAAGCCATTTATAGTGCTTCTAATTTAACTGTTTATTTCTTGTATATTTATCTGTATATGATTGTATATTTATCTGTATATGATTTAACATTTCATTTCTTGTTATATATTAATTACCTTTATAAATAAATATATTATATTATCAAGAATTTGGTTTTATCTCTCTAGAGAACCCTGTCTAACACACCCAACCATAAAATTATTTTCATTGCTACTTCATAACTGTCATTTTGCTACTGTTATGAATCAGCCTACCCCTGTGAAAGGGTAGTTCAACCCCCAAAGGGATTGCAACCCACAGGTTGAGAACGGCTGCCTTAGGGAATCAAAGGTTAGTTTACCTGGATTAAGGATGGACAATTCTGAGCTTAAGAGAGTAAATGACTTCTCTTTTTGAAGGTTGTGCCTGGATGTGGCAAAGTCAGGCATAGGGCCATATCCTTCTCATTTAATTTTTCGGGTTTAGCCAGTGATGGGATGCAGGTGGTCCACACCAGTTTGGCAGGACGGATGCCTAATATTTTGTTGAGTTTGGTGAACAAGTTGTTTAAAAAGCAGTTGTCATCAGGGTTCTCTCTAAGGTGGATGGCTAGGCGGCCACCCAATGTGGACACTGCACATTTCCATTCTTACCTTCCTTAATGTTCTCCTGTACCACAGCATAGTGTAAGCTCCCTCAGTCGTGTTTAGTCTGTCCACAGGTAGAATAAATAAGATGGAACTATGTTTGTGATATTTACTTATTCGTTTCATAAAACTCATTATACTTTAGATGAAATACTACATATTTTCCCTTGTGGTTGTTACTTCAGTAAACAAACACATAAGGCAAAGAGGAAAAGTGCCAACCAGCCAGTGGAAAGACGGTGAAGGACAAAGCACACAGGTGATGGTGCTCGGATAAAAGCGAAGCATATTGCCAGTGAGGAAGTCAATCAACAAAAAATAGCACAGAAGAGAACTGCCTCAGAGTTTCCCAACTACAAATCTGCAAGGAAGTAGTCTGTCTCATCATTTTCCTGTGGAATGGCTGGCAGTTTGGAACAGCTGGCTTTTCGGTGAACAGTCAGTATCCTTTAACACTTGTATCACCATGGGTACTTCTCCAGTAACAGAATCTGGTAGCAAATGGGGGCGGGGAGAGCTTTTATGTCCCAAGAGCGCTAAGGTCAAGAAGTAATAATAGGCTACAGGTTTAGAGGGAGGCTCAACGAGCCAGTCTGATTTGACTTGTGTCGGTGATTTGAATAGAGAGCCCCCTGGACAAGATGAAGTTGCAAATATATATGTCTACAACAAAGAAGCTAAGAATGGCAACAAAGGAAGAGCTAAGGACAAGCTCATAAACTCATAATATGATCAAATCAAATACATTTATTTTTGCACACAGGGAACTCAGTAATTGCAATCGCCTGGTATTTTCTTTTACAGCAAAGGTCTGGTTTGAGAAAAAAAAAATCTAGCTCGCTTTCAAATAGCAGACTCACATTTTCTTCCCTCTTTTCCAAATAAAATTCTGTTGGGTCTCTCATAATAATTATTAAAGTTAATATATATTTAAGTACTTTAATTGAAAGTCATTTATTCACCCAAAGGTCAAGTACAATACTGGCAGCCAGAATATTTGATTCCCCTCCCAGCCCTACCAATGTATTCTGCTTCATAATAGCACAGATGAGGCGATGTGTCTTGCAGCAAAAAGTGATTCCGTTTCCACGGTAACATAGCTCTCGGCTGCGTTTCTTTAGTGGTGAAGGACAACTGCTCTGTCTAATGTCTGTGGGTTTGAAGGGGATGATGAGGGGAGGGAAGGGACTGCGCCAAGACCAGGGAAAGTAATTTCACTTCTGGCTGCCTGCCACAAAGGCCCCAGAATCCTATAAAGTAAATATAACTATCATGTGGTTCAGTTTTACAAATTTTACAGTCCAAGAATCTCTGCATTGGCTTCCAAGAAAAATTACCATGAAGAGGGGGGGAAAGTAAGGCACCCTTTTAATTTCCTTCGTGATCCACTTTAAAAATAGCTCATAAACCAAAGATATTACACATTAGTGTGAGCTGGCTATTCTCTCAACTTTTGATTGTGACTTGGGTGAAAATGAATAGAGCAGATCATCAGATTTACATTCAATAATTCATATGCGTTTTGTTTATTCCAGCTCATTGCGGTGCCCTCAATGTAACATCACTCATTGACTTCACTTTGTCCCTCTGGTCCCTGTTTCCGTTCCTCCATCTTTCCTGACCCTTCTGAACTTTGGCCTTGGGTAAATGCTGCCCCTTGATCGCAAGCGATTGATCATTTGAAGATCAATTTGATCGCAAGTGATTGATCATTTGAAGATCAATGGTATTTATCATGCTCCTTGTTATTCCTTTGACTGGAACTTGAACTTCAAGGATGAATTTAGTTTCAGAACTGATGGGGCCACAGTTGGGGGGCAGGGGGGTGTCCATCAGTCTCTATGTGACCAGTAAGCCTTGTCCTTTTATGATTTTTAATTTTTTTTTTTTTACACATTTTCCTCCCACTCTCCCCAGGATCCCTTTCAGA